GGCGGGGCTCGGGCTGGGCCCGGGGCGAACCGGAACCTGGAGTGCGGGCGGGACGGAGTTGGAAATGGGGCGCAGTGAGGCGGGGAGCCGACCCTGAACGTGTCCTGTGGGGGGGGAGCCGAGCCCAGGCGGGGCGCCAGAGCAGTAGGCGGAGGAGTGAAGTCAGTGCTGAGTGGGCGGAAGAGCCTGGGCTGAGGTGAGGCCCACAAGCGGCAGTTGAGAGAAGGAGCTGGCACCCCAGGGAGCTTTGGGACTCGACAGATTTTCAAAATGCCAGGCTGTTGCATTTTGTCCAGTTCCTCTTGGTTTTTCTTTCGGAGGCAGCCCCACGCCCTCCCACCTCGTTGCATTGCCCGGTTCCCTCGGGTCCAGGTGGTGGTGTCCGAATTCCTCTTTGCCCAATCCCGGGACTTCTGCCCGTGTGGCTGCTGCTTTTCATTAGAAATGCCGTCACGCAAGTCGAGGTGCCTGGCCACTTAATCAACTGCGCAATATTCTCTTACGACTCCTGTCGCCTTTTGTTTAAAAAAACCTTGAGTCTTGGTACCGTGTGTTTGTATTCTTAGGGGCAAAGAGAGTGGGAGGAGGGGAAGAAAACCCCTGATCTTCGGGTGCAACTCCAAGAATGCAATGATACTTGATTCTTTCATTTTCTTAACAGACATGGCTACTTATCACCCAGAAGGACACATGCAGCTGCCCCGAGCTGATGCTATTCGTTCTCGTCTCATTGATACTTTCTCTCTCATCGAGCATCTGCAAGGCCTAAGCCAAGCTGTGCCACGGCACACAATTCGAGAGATACTTGGTCAGCAGACTGTTTCTTCACAGGGAGAAACTTAAGACTCCCATCCACACCCTCCAATGAATAGGAAGCAGACAATTTTAAGGGTAGAAAATTCAGGGGAGATTGATATGGTTATTTTGGAGGTTACAACAAACTTGATAAATCAAAGGCTTTAGAAATAAAATTCTTTGAGTCCAGGCTATAGAACACATGCCACTCACTTTTAGGCCTAGGATACCACTCACTTTTAGCCCTGGCTGAAGTGGAAGTTTTTACCAAAGACACTTAAAACTTAGAGGGTTGGCCCTGCCAGCATGGCTCAGGGGTTGAGCATGGACCTGTGATCCAGGAGATAGGGGTTCGTTTCCGGTTAGGGCACATGCCTGGGTTGTGGACTCATCCCCAGTAGGGGGCATGCAGGAGGCAGCTGATCAATGATTCATCATTGATGTTTCTCTCTCTCCCTCTCCCTTCCTCTCTGTGAAACCAATAAAGATATTTTTTTAAAAAAACAGAGTGTTGAACCTTCTGCCTTTATTCTAGGGCATGGACAGTGTTGATCTTAAAGCAATACATTAGCTCTTCAAACCAGTACAGTATTAGTTGCTGGGAGAAGGAGCAGCAAGGCAAGCCCCCAGCACTAGGGGGCCCCTTATGTAACTAGTATCCCTGCCCCTAATCTTACCTGCTCTTCATATTCCTCTCCCCTAACTTTATATTTATCTACTGCCCCTTTTTTATTTTTTGGTGTAGATCCTTCCCATCAGAAGAAACTTATGTTGGGAGATCAGCACCAGCTTGTGCGCTTCTCGGTAAAGCCTCGTCATGAAGAACCGATTACACATGGCCAGAGATTGATGAGCAGGCTTCATGTGCGCTGCAGTTGGAGGCCACCTCTTGCTCTGTGGGCTGGATGGGTCCTTGAACGTATCCTTTCATCCCCATTTTATCCCATGTCTTTACTGTTTCTGTTGCCTCATCCTTTGCCTTATGACTTTATTTTTCCCTTTCTAAACTCCATTTTCTTTTCATTCTCACTGGTTCTATTATTGCCCCTATTATTTCACCTGCATGAATCAAAGAACTGCATTATGTATGTTTCCTTAAGAGAAAACAGGTCCTCTCTTCACAAACTTCATCATATTCCTCATCTTTTTGAATACAATTGTACTGATGGTTGAAACAGGTGAGAACTGACATTGAATGAAAGAGTAAATGGGTGGGAGTCATTTTTCCTTCCAATTGATTATTTTACATTTTTGAATGTTATTTGAATTGTGATAGGCATAACTGCTAAGATTTAGAAACATTTGGAAGGTTCTCTAGAGTGTAGTAGATATAAGGTAGTCTTGATACTTAGAGGTAGAGTGTAATAGAGTCAACAAGGAACTGGAGGTGGAAAGACCAGTTATATTTCTTGTGTCAGTTTAGTCTAAATTTGTTTGAATTAACCTTTCCTATTAGAGATACTGGTGCCTATTAGTGAGTGATCCAATATTTACACTTTTACAAGTATGTTTAAAAGGTTAAGTACAAAAAGAAAGCTCACAGAGTATGTAAATTTAGGTACAAATAAGATATTGACAGAAAATTACTTACAGAGTAAATAACTCTAAAATCAATAATAAGTTATATGAAATGTATTAATAAAAGAAATCTGGAGAACCAATGAGCTCATTTGATTATCATCTCAAACTGCTCAGAAAGGATAAAGGACAGTAAAAGTACTCACTTCCTTGTTTCATTCTCACTTGTTTGGGGGAAGTTTCCTACTTTAAAACTGTCTTTTAATGCAATTAGGTCAAAGCTATTTAAACCACAAAAGTTGATGTCATTGACCACTACAGTATACTATATATACTTTGAAGTGTTTTATTTCCTCTAAATATGGGGATTTTGTCACCCACACTTCCTATTTGTTGTATAATTGGTATGTTTTGCCTTGTGACGTTAGGGATATAGTCTTAAGCCTTGGAATAAAGTAAATAGCAGTAAATGTACAGGATTTACTGCATCTAATGGACAAATCAAAAGAGAATAGCACTAACCATTCTACTTGGTAAAACGGCTGAATAGGAAACATTATCACTGTGCCAGAGGATAGGTGGATTGCCTGAAAGGGAATTACCTGGCAAACTCGTGTAAATTGTGTTTTGTTAAGTATATTCTCGTGGCAGAAAGGCAGGAGGAATAATAATTTGTGGCTAACAGATTTTTTTGAACAGACTAACTCATGTGATAAACATTAAGACTTTGTTTAGGCTTTTAAAAAACAATTTTCCAGATCACAAAGAATATTGTTATAGGTAGGAAAAAAATAATTATTAACAGTTTTCTAGACCAAAACTCCCCAATCTTTTTTTGTCTTGTGATTTTGTTTTCCAGTAATACATATATAATCTTGAAAACCTCCTAGGGCATTTTAAGCATTTAATTATTTTTATGTGGTATAAAGAAGCAAGTTGAAGTAAAAATAATATTTTAGACTAGCATATTATATATTGTATTTTAACATTTATTACATAATTTTTTAAATCATGTGAGCAAATTTTTACTTTTGCCATTTTATAAGTGATTCATGCTATTTTTAAAGAAAATATATGATTTGTCTACAAATAAATTTTAAAATGGCATTGTTTGACTTTGAGATCATATATATTTATTTTTTGTATTACATAGTTTTTAATTTAATTTTTTTTGTTATTTTAATTGAGATATAATTGACATAACATTAGTTTCAGGCTTACAACATTATGGATTATATGTTAAAACATCTGACATATGTTAAAATGTAGGTGAACATTTATATGTTAGGGTATAAAAAATAAAAAGTCTTTCACAATGATATTGGTTGCTTATTTTTATAATTTTCATATTTTGTTTCTGAATGATGAGAGAGAAAAGAAAGATTTGACTCATTTTCTCTGATAATATCACATTGCAAGTGTGAATAGCCTTTATTTCCAACAAAAACTGAGTGTACCATCATTATAATTTTTTACTTTGATTTTTGAGGTTCTAGAGATATCTTGATGAGCTATATAAAGATTTTTATCAGGTGAATATAAGTTATAGAAGCTGATGATAATCATCTTGAGATAAACTTGCAGAATTATTCTTATGCTCTTCGTGAAGTTGTATTTCAACATCATTGTTCCTTACTTCTGTTATGGATATAATTAGCCAAAATATTACTAAAAGCAATAATGATTTAAAACTGTGTGTCAAAATCTACACAGCAGTTGTGTTCTTCAGGGTGATTGAGTATGCTTTTCTGATCTCCATTAACTGCCAAGCTATCAGTCATAGGCTCTCAGAGTATTGTGTTTCAAAGTAAACATATTAAATTTTTAACTTTTAAGCCTATTTTAATCACAATGATTTTTCTCAATAGCATGTTATACATCCATTAAATGCATAAAACAGATTAAGAGGGTTGAAAGGCAAAGGCAATGAGTTAAGGATAGCAATTAGCAAATAATAAGGTTCTAGAAGGTATAGGATTCTTTTTGCTTTGCAGAACAAAATCAATTTTATAGAAGAAAGGGGAAGTTTTAAAAGCTAACAAATAGCCTTGGCTGGGTAGCTCAGTTGGTTAGATCATTGTCCCAATATGTCAAGGTTGTGGGTTCTATCCCTGGTCAGGGCACATACAAGAGTTGACCAATAAATGCATGAATGGTGGAACAACAAAATCAGTATTTCTCTTTCTCTCCCTTCTTTCTCTCTCTCAAAAAAACACCAACCCCCCCCCCAAAAAAAAAACCACACACCAAAGAACCAAGCAATTTCTTGTTATAACTCAGTATGCCACATGAATCTGGCATCTTGTTTCTACATCCCTGATAAAACACTTAACATATATCAAGGCCCTACATTTTCATTCTATTCTCAAGCCTCATTGCTTCTTTGTGAAATTTGGGATTGGAGGGTAATAGCACAGCAGGCAGCGTTGGTGGTAGTTAAGAGATGATCTGTGTGACCCCAGAGTGGGAAGGCAGTCACTTGCAGCTGGTAGGCATATCGATACCAGCAGGACAGATGAGTGGTAGCTATTTTTCATGTTTGATTCTGTCCTCCCCTGTATTTCACAGGTTGAAGCAACAACATTGTTTAGAGAAACTCAAAGAAAAATGTAACAGCAGTGGGCACAAGTGTGGTTTATAACAGGTTGTGATCATTCTCTATCATTCAGCTTCCCACTTCCTTAACCTTTATTCATCCTTTGCTTTACTCACTCAGACCTGCTTGAATCCTCAAATCCCAAACTGTGGTCACTGAAGCTGGCTCTCGAAGTGGCAGCTTGGTTCATCTTACTTATTTTCATCTTGGAGATCCTTCTTATGTGGCTATTCAGCTTTTCCCTCTTCTGGAAGAATGCCTGGAATGTCTTTGATTTTGTTGTTACCACATTGGTAAGGATAGATATCCTGAGGATTCATTTAGTGGGCTGAGGAATGTGCCCAGGTGAATCAAAATGACAAGAAAAGTTAAGATAATTAGATCTCAGGAAGAAACAAATAGAAATGTACCTAACTTCCTTTTTTCCTTTTTCTTCTAAAACTAAAAGTAAGTCATTGCAGGAGTTGCAGGTATTAGGAGCAAGGCAGAATCTAACCACAACATTAACCCCAACAATAATGTCTACTGGTTAACTAAGCACATTCGAACTCTACGACAACCCAATGAGATAGACACTGTTTTATCCCCTTTTTATGTCTGAGTAAACTGAAGTACAGAGTTTAAGTAATTTAGTATAGAAAGGCTGAATAGGAAACAGCCCCTAGAGAATGTTATTCAAGGGATAGTGTCCAAGGAACTATGAAGATCAGATAATGAAGGGGCAACGGTGTGGGTGCTTTGGGATATATTTTATTCATAATCTGTGTGTTTCCCACAGTCCCTGCTTCCTGAGGTTGTGGTGCTGGTAGGGGTAACAAGCCAGTCTGTATGGCTCCAGTTGCTGAGGATCTGCCGGGTGCTAAGGTCTCTCAAACTCTTTACACGATTCCCTCAAGTTCGAGTCATTATTTTGGCCCTTGCCAGGGCCCTTAAGGTGATTTGACTCTAGCAGCAACACCAGGTGGGCAAGGTGGACAAACTTGTGGGTTACATGAGACAAGTCTGGGCAGGACAAAGAAGGCAGTGAAAGACCTTGTGAGAGGACTGGGGTCAAGCTGCTGTGGACTAAGATGACTGGGCTCAGGACTAGAAGGGAGGATTTGGTGGGGCATCGCCAGGGTGGGCTTGATTGGGCTGTAGGTGGAAATCAGCCTAGTCTGGCCCAGGTCTGACTTGAAGTTATCTCCTCTAGAGTATGACCTTCCTCTTGTTGTTGCTGATGATCTTCTTCTACATTTTTGCTGTGGCCGGTGTCTACTTCTTCCAGGATTATACTCGTTCATCTCACGGGGACCTGACATACCAAATGTTCTTCTCGTAGGCAGGACTGGGAGAACCCTGGGTGGAGGGAGGGAGAATTTGGGCAAGAGACTGGGAAGCTAGTCTAAAGTATAGTAATATAAAAAATAATAGCTTATTGTAAAAAAATGGAATAGAGCACAGGAGAGGCAAAGAGAAAGCAAAGGAATATTTAGTGGTATTCACTCTGATTTTGAGGATAGGACAACTACCAGATTTGCTCTGGGTTTTGCAAATTCATAATGCACCCTTATCAACCATCTTTAAATAGCAGTATACTCCAGTGGTTAAGCCCTGGTTTCTATGCCTCTGTTACCTCTTAAAAAATGGGAATAAGAGGATAGGGGTAAATGAGGTAATGCATTTAAGCACTTAGCAGAGTATTTAATACATGTTGTAAGTGATAATAAATGTTACTTTCAAACATGCTCACTGGTTTTACCCCAATCGCTAGGTGTGGGGATTACACACGCATATACCTATACTCATTCAAAGTAAAATCCTGATAAGATCTTTGCCTAGAGAACACTGATTACTAATAGAAAGTCAATTTGTATTTAGAGGTGATAATATTATTTATGAATTGGAATCCAATCTTGTCAGCACCTCTCAGATCTCTCTTAGTAGTTTTGTAAGAATACAAGTTAGGAAAGTCCTGATATTTTCAACAAATTGGAGGACTAAGAAGGAAAAAAGAAAAATTTAAATACCTTCCTGGGAACTTTTGTGATATATTCATTGTCATTTATTATTTGGGATTACATGTTAATGTCACAAATCCATTGATTTACTTGCCTATCAGTTCATACCAACAAACTAAATAGGAATGATGTTTGCTAAATTTCTAAATGATCTTCTGTAGGTGAAGTCTGTAGGATAGTGGAGAAGGAACTTAAAAAAATGATATGTAGTTGGTGATCCATTCAATTTTTACAAATTCAGTCAGTACCTATTTATTGAGTACCTACTATGCCCCAGGTACTAATATAATAGTAAGTGGAATTCATAGATTATTTATGATAAAGAAAAACCTAATAAAACAACTTCAAACTGCAGAATGATTAACTAAAAAAATTGAGCATGGTAGAAAAGAAGCCAGAGCCAGAGCAAAGTATAAAGAAATGTTCTTAGGTTGCTTTAAGAGTGGGAATAAAAAAAAAAAAAAGTGAGAATGAAACTTTCTGAGAGGTTTAGATTTCTGTTTTATCTATACACACCCTTTTTTCATTAGGGACATGCTGAATTCCCTAGTGACAGTGTTCATTCTCTTCACCATGGATCATTGGTATGCACTGCTTCAGGACCTCTGGAAGGTGCCTGAAGTCAGCCGCTTCTTCAGCAGCATCTATGTCATCCTTTCACTGTTACTTGGTTCCATTATCTTTCGAAATATCATAGTAGCCATGATGGGTAAGCATAAAAGAGGTGAAACTTTGTGGGAGGGGAGGTTGGGAAGAAATTAGAGTGAAAGCTGGGCTTGGTAGATTATGGAGTGAGAGAACCTGATATAGCAGGAAGGTTTTGGGCCTATAATGGATATTTCACTTGGTTTCTCCCCACCTAAGTCCTCTTCCCAGGCCTAGTCACCACCATTCCCAACTCCTAATTACCCTTTGGGGCAGTTACTAACTTTCAGGCTATCAGGAATGAGCTGAACAAGGAGATGACACACCTGGAGGTTCAGCAAAAAGCCGACATATTCAGGCGGGAGATGATCCAGAGGTCTGCTTCACCATTTTTAAACCCGACTTTAGTTTTCAAAGGTTTCCTGACCTCAGTCCCTGTTTCTATCTTTGGCCTTGACCCTATTTTTCCCTTTGTGACAGCAGATTTGCCTGAGGGTTAGAATACCCTGGCTCTAGAATATTTCCCGATTCTTTATCTACTGTTGGGGCTTCCCTACTCTTTTTCACCCCTTTACCACAATTTGTTCTCTTCTCTTAGTTTTCTTCACTTTATGATATGAATTATTTTCTTTTTTCCTTACTAAACTCCTGCTTCAATATAACTCTTCATTCTTTTGTGATTTTTGCTTTGTAGGAGACAAAACCTGTCCCCTGAGGGACTGAGGTCAAGCCTTAGCAAAATGGATACCAGGTTAGGAGCGTGTATGTGAACTGGGATGGATACACATGAAGGAGGAGAGGGTAGAAAATCAGAGATGAATATTGGCTTTGAGAGAGAATTCATTTATTCAGTAACTATTGATTGTAGTGGGTTGAAGGGTAGCCCCCCCAAAGATATGCCCATGTCCTAGCCCCCAAAACCTGTGAACATGACCTTATTAGGAAAAAGGGTCTTTGCAGATGCAATTAAGTTAAGGATCTTGGGATGTGATTATCCCAGATTATCCAAGTGGACCCTTAATCCGGTGACAAGGGTCCTTATCAGAGACAAAATAGGAGAAGACCTGGACATAGAGAATAGAAAAAGGAGATATGAAGATAGAGATAGAGATTGGAGTGATGCAACCACAGCCAACAGAAGCCAATGGATGCCAGGCAACTAACTGCTAGAGATAGAAGAAGTGAGGAACCTTCTCCCCTAGAACTTCCAGAGGGAGGATGGCCCTGCCAGCATCTTGATTTTAGGCTCTGGATTCCAGAATTGTGAGAGAATAAATTTATTTAAGCTACCAAGTTTGTGGTGATTCGTTATAGCAGCCACAGGAAATTAATACAAGTACGTTCTATGAAACAGATGCTATTCTAGACCCTGAATATTCAGCAGTGAACAAGAGAGCAGACAGAGAAATAAACCCATTCATCCATTCAACAAATAATTATTGAATACTTATTAGATGCTTGGGATATATCAGTGAACAAAACAGACAATAATGCTTGCTCTAATGTAGCTTACATACTAGATAGGGGAAAGAGATAATAAATAATGAATATATTAAATAATTATATTAATATGTTAAAATATGATAAGCCTCATAAAAAAATAGGACAGGTTAAGAGGGATTGGAGTACAGGGTGGGCATTGCAGATCGGTTGTAATCTTAAACAAGGTAGTCAGGGTGACCTCACTGAAAACGTAACATTTGAGAAAATACTTGGATTGGGTAAGGGGATTACTATGTGGATATCTATGGGAAGAGTGTTATAGGCAGAGAGAACAGCTAGTACAAAGGTCCTAAGCCAGAAGCATACCCGATATGTTTGAGAAACAGCAAGGAAGTCATTGTGACTGGAGCAAAGTGAGCAGGGGGAGATGATAGGAGATGAGGTCATAGAAATAATGAGGACCCTATTCTGTAGGTCTGTGGAGGCCATTGTAGGGACTTGTGCTTTGCCTGTGAGTGAAGTGGGGAACAGAGCAGAGCAGTGACATGAAATGACTTACATTTAAGGATTGCCCTGGTTGCTGTGTTGATAGACTGAGAAGAATGAGGGAAGGAGCAGAGAGATGAGTTGGGAGGCTGTGCTGCTATCCAAGCAAGAGGTGGTAATGGCTCAGACCAGAGTGGTACCAGTGAGAAAAGGTATTTTGAAGGTGAAGTCAACAGGATTTCTTGATGGGTTGGATGTGGGGTATGAGAGAGGAGTTCGGGATTACTCCAAAATTTTGACCTGAGCAACTGGCAGGATGGATTAGCTGAGATGGGGAAGGCTATTGGTGGAAGAGATGTGGTGGGCAGAGTTCAGTTTTGGTTGAATTTGAGATATCTATTAGACATTCAAGTGGTGCTATGTGAGTCAATGTTGTATATAGTAGTCTGGATTGAGGAGTGAGATCTGGACAAGAGGTTTAAATTTGCATTTAGCAGGCATTTAAATTCAGATGAGATCACCAAAGGAGTGACTATAGATCAAGAAGATACAAGACCAAGAGCTGAGCCTGGGGGCCTTCTACTATTAAGAGATAGAATCATGAGGGCAAAGGCTATAGTTGTGGTATTATATGCATAGGGCTATGGAGTGGGGAACTAAAGCTTGGCAAAATAAGATTAGGTATGGAATGTGGAAGCCTGAGTAAAACTGAGCACAGGATCTATGTGCTGAAGGACACTAAATCAGATATCGCACATGGGATAATTGAGTTTGGAAGTGCTTAAGCTCAGGTTTTAGACTCGTATATACAATAACTTGTATATACAATGAGCAGTTTGGCTCTCATAGCCTTAAGTCTCAGCATCAGGGGATGGCCAGGGCCAGGACCAGGACCAGAATAATGAAAGAGCTAACCATATCTCATAAATGTATTTTAAGCAATAAAATTTCCCCTTTCGCTTATAGAGATACCAGTCAACAAGCGGTCTTATCAGAAGATTTTAAAGAAGAGTCTGAAAGCAGTACCACTGAAGAGGGTTTAAGAATATCCAAGTCAAAATCAGAAGAGTCCGTGTTCAAAAAGCAAAAGCCCTCATCTCTCTCCTCATCTTCCTTCTCAACTGTATCTTCCTTTTCCTCTTCTGAATCCAGAAATGTTGATACTATTGGTAAGCAGAGGGTTTCTTCTATTTGAATTCAGACTTCTCTTCTCTAGGAGACATCCCTGTCTTAATAGGAGCTCTCCCACTGTATCTACTTCCCAATTTTCTCCACCAGTCTGATTTTCTGTCTTAGTTACTTTCTTTGTGCCTCTTCATTACCCCTATACTTCTGCTTCACTTTGGATAAGTGTGACTATGGCTGTTTCTGCTTATTGTGAAAAGTCGCCTCTTGGTGATGCACCCTTTACCCTTCTCCACACTTCCTGTTTCCTCTTTCATCCCTGCTTTCTCCTCCACAAACCATAGGATTTGTCAGTTCTTTCCCAACTTCCACAAATCTATTTGTTTTTAAGAAGAATTCCTCCATCCAGGTGACTTGGACTGGGAGACTCATGTGCACCAGAATCTGCCTGGGCTGATGGACATGGATCAGGATGAACGCATTGTTTGGCCTAGAGATTCGCTCTTCCGATATTTTGAGTTGCTAGAAAAGCTTCAGTATAACCTAGAGGAGCGTAAGCGGTTGCAAGAGTTTGCAGGTATGGATTTGGGGCAGTCATAGGGACCAGGAGTTAAGTACAATTAGAGTAGCATATATAACTGAGGGTAAGGAGGTGGGTGTCCACTATTTTGGTATCTCAACTTCTGAATTTCCACCTGACACCTAAAAAAGGCAAATCCTTGTTTTGGTATGTTACATTCTGGACATATGTCCTGATTTCTTCTAACCTAGAGAGAACCTATCAATGTTGCTTCTTTAGTAGGGGACACCTAAATCCTTTCAAATCTGAGAGCTTGTTTCCCAAGAGGAGAGTGTTCCGGTTGTTGGCAATTAAGACAAGGTGGGCTCTTGCTCATTTTGGGGCCCACCTCCTTTTGTACGTTTCTTCTCTTTGAAGGCCACATTTCAGACCTGAGCAGTAGGGCCTTAGTCTCAAGATTTTGAGATTGCGTATATAATGACTGATAGATGGGAATTAGACAGTGAGTAGAAAGCCCACAAGTGCCCACTACACTCAACCCCCAAAAGAGGTTTATGAATTATAGACTTCTCTTCCTTTCGATGCCTTATAGTGTCAGCCTAAGCAGAGAGAAGTGTGATTTAAATAGTAGAGTTATTTTCCCTAAGTTTCTCACTTGAAATTTCACCGCTTGGATTAATAAATTTCCCCCTTAGAAATAAATGCTGAAAAAGTTAGGGGCCCTTTTTTTTTACAGTTTAATTTGGGTTAGTGTCATCTTCCTTATACTTAGTTGAAATCAACTCAATGTGAAAATAACAATTAGGGAAGAGGAATATGTGTTTGTGGTGGGCACAGGAGGGCATTAAAAGAAATTTATAGCATTGGGATGTGGAATTTAGAACAGGATGTCAAAGTAGGCATTCACCTACTTCAAAACCTAAGGTTAATCCTGCTCTTTCCAGTTGTCCTCAGCCTTGCCTTCCCACTTGTTCTCTGAGGAGAACAGGGTGAGAGACGATAGCAAGGCAGCTTTTTAAATCCTGATTAATTCATCTATGGCAAGGAGTACAGGTGCATATGCTTAATTTTTAAAAATGTATTTTTCAATTATAGTTGACATGCAACATATGGCTTAATTTAAAGTAAAGATTACTAAAAATTTGTGTGGGAACCGAGAAAAACAGGGTCTTCCAACACTTGTATGTCCTGGATATTCCTAGCTCTCCAGTCTCATATCTGTTTCTTTACAGTGCAGGCACTGCTGAACTTGGAAGACAAATAAAACCGACGATGGATGGCTTTGATATCTTTGGCAACAGATATTGAAGGGAATAGTTGGAAATAGAATTCAAAGTATAAATGTTTAATAAATCCTGCTGAAAATTGCTTAGTAGCCTGTCTCTTAGACATAGAGGATACTGAAAGGTATAAGGTTAGGTAAAAAAGTTAGTTTAGATACCAGTAGGGCCTGTGGTCTTTGGCTTTCTATTCTTTCCACAGCTGCTCAGACTGACTCTTTCCTTGACTTTATAACTATGGTTCCCACCCTTCCTGCAAACTCTGCTTCCTGATAGAGTCCTAATTTCACCCTCTTCTTCCCTGGTGGGTACTGCCTCTCTTGTGGGGGGTTGGCATAAGGAGATCCTAGGAACTATTAGTGTAACTAATTGAGAACTATTGTTTCCATTGCCTACTCTAGGAACATTGCTTCCCCCTGTGCACGATTAACTTTAATCAAATATTGTTTTCACCTATTTCTGCCCCAAAAGAGAGTCCTTTATTCCATTTCCTTGTCACTGCTCAGGGAGGGCAGCGATTCCACTGTGTAGGAGTGTTCAAATCAGTGAGCATCCCATAGACTTTTAGCGTTAGAAGGGACTTTAGAGTTTACCCCCCATCAGAACAGGAACACATTTTAGGACATCACTGAAAAGGGAATTATCCTGCTGATGCTTAATGTTTCTAGTTACAGGGGATCCCATTTCATTGTTGGATGACTCAAGTCTTTAGAAATGTTTATTAAAATTCTATCACTTTTTGAGTACTTAACTTATACATACATAAAAAAACACTAAATTGTACACTTTAAAATGATGACTTTTATGTTATGTGAATTATATCTCAATTTTTTAAAATGAAGTAAGCAAAGATTATCTTAAACCAAGAACCAACATTATGTTTCAAAGAAAAGCACTGTAGTCATTCTCCATTGAGAAAGAAAAATGTTTTAAAAATAAATGTCAAAAAATAATTTTGTATTATATATCTTGTCATAAGAAATATGGCATAAATATTTGGAAAGAACTAAAACTACTATTTTTTAGACACAGCTGTATACCTAGAAACCCCAAAGGAGTCAACTAGAATTAGAGATAGATAACAAAGGACTTCCATTAAGTACAAATAGAAAAAAAGAGGGCTGGAGACAGACACCTGGGAAACAGGAACACTTAAGGGATAGGAGGAGGAAGAGGAGCCAGCAAAGAAGCCTGAGAAGGAAGAGCTGAAGAGACAGAAGGATAATCATTCTAGAGTAATGTCATTAGGGCCAAGATAGAATTTTTTTCTTTTTATTAATTTTTAAATTTATTGCCCTAGATGGTTAGAGCTTCGGCCCTCAGACTAAGGGTCCTGGGTTTGATTCTGGCCAAGGGTACATACCTTGGTTGCAGGCTCAATCCCTAGCCCCACCCCGGGTCAGGAGGCAACCAATCTATGTGTCACCCTCACATCAGTGTTTCTCTCTCTCCCTCTCCCTTGCACTCTCTCTGAAAAACAATGAAAAAAAAAATCAGGTGAGGATTAAGAAACATTTAAAAAAATTATTTATTAATTTTAGAGAGGAAGGAAGAGAGAGAGAAATATCATTTTGATGTTCCATTTATTGATGCATTCATTGGTTGCTGCTTGTATGTGCCCTGACCAAGGATCAAACCAATAACTTTGGCATATCGGGACAATAACCAACTGAGCTACCTGGCCAGGGCCCCAAGATAGAATTTCAAAAAAGGGATGGTCCAGTAAGATCTGTATTGGAGCATCCATTGAACCTGGCAATCAGAATACAGTAAACTATAAGAAAGCATTATATAATAAATCTTACATTTACTATCCACAAGTAGTTGCTCTTTGAGTAGCTTTACTCAAAGTGTGGTCTGAGAACTAGCAGAATTGGCTTCACCTGGTAACTTGTTAGATGGCAGAATCTCGGGTCCCATTGAATCAGGTTTTTTACATATGCTTATTAAAGTTTCAAACTGTTTTATAGGTATTTGATGACTGACCCCCTCCGGACTTTCTGTAGCTGACCTCCTCAAATTAGTGGTCTATGCAGGCTGCCTCATTCTTTACCTTCTTCCTTAATGAAAATGATCTGGTTTCAATGCTACTCAAATGAAAGTTTATTCAACAAATATATGCTGAGTTCCTGTGTTCTAGACACTGATCTAAGCATTTGGATGCATCAATGAACAAACAAGACAGAAATCCTTGCCACCCTAAGTAGTCCTTCATAAGATCACCAAATAATAAATGATAACTTCCATGAAGACCGATTTTACCTCCTCATATTTCCCTCCAAATTACATATCCTTTCAGCAGCCCAGGGCCATGTGAAAGCAGCTGCTCAAAAACAAAAACAAAAACCTTTTCAGACTAAATACAAATATTCTGAAGTCTGAGGATCAAGCCCCACTAGCAGTGAGTTCATTACTCCTCTGGCTTCCATTTTATCCTTGCCCTATCTTTGCTATAGCTCTCACCACTATTCTTAAGGAAGGGATTCAAGCTCTATGCCAGGTAACTCAGGGTTCCTCAGGAGCATTTTGGAAGGGAAGTCAGGATTTAGATATTGTGATGTAACCAAAAATAAAATTTTCACATAAGGTTTATCTTGAGATTGGAACATAGTTTCTTCCTTTGATCTCCAATTATTACATCTTCAAATACCATCCTGGAACTTAAACCAATGTGCTTGTTCTTGGAAATAAACATAAAAATATTAGTATTTGTTTTATTACAGCATAAGGTATATAAAAACAATGCAAGAAGGAAAGAAATTTTATAACTATGGCTTCTACCATAACAACTTTAACTTTTATTAATGTTCAACATGGATTATTGGTTATGAATCTGTTAATTTATCTTTATTATAATGTATCCATATGTTATCACTGCTCCTTAATATGAAAGTTTAAAATTTTTAAAATACTCATTTACTTACTTTATTTCCAAAGGTTTAAAACCTCAGAAAACTCCTATGTCTCTTTCCACCTCACATCTTGAGACCTTGTACCAGTCAGCCAGACCCCTGGTGTCCAAAAAGGGATTTAGTTCTTTCAACAAATTTTTTAACGTTCAGTTTTGAGGATAGAGTGACTATTCAGTATGTGAATGTAAGCATTTTTTAATACCGCTTTTGAGAGAGCTCTGTTTTTACCACAATAAAGAGAACTCTCCACAATGTTTGCATTTATATTTTTCCTATTTGTTTGGCTTAAAGTGAGGTGAACATTTAAAATTTTTTATTTTGAAATAATTTGATCACAGACGAGTTGGAAAAATAATTTCTATGCACCTGCCACCCAACTTTCTCTAATATTAATATCTTACATAACCCCAATATAATGACCAAAACTAATAAATGAACATTGGTAAAACACTATTAGTGGAAGTACAGACTTCATTAGGATTTCACCTGCTTTTCCCCTAACGTTCTTTTCTGTTCTAGGACCTACTATAGGATACAACATTGCATTTAGTTGTTATTTCTCCTTGGGCTCCTCTGGCTGTAACAGTTTCCTTAGTCTTCCCTTATCTTTTACAACCTTGACATGTTTGAAGAGTTCTGGTTAGGTATTTTGTAGAATGTCCCTCGATTTGGGCTCATCTGATGTTTTCTCATGATTATATATATATATATATTTTTAATATATCTTTATTGACTTCAGGGGGGGGAAAGGAGAGGGGGAGAGAGAGATAGAAACATCAATGATGAGAGTCATTGATCGAGCCCGCAACCCGGGCATGTGCCCTGACTGGGAATCGAACCCCAATCACCTGGATCCTAGGTTGATGCTCAACTGCTGAGCCACAACCGGCCTGGCTCATGATTATATTGCAATCATGAATTTTTAGAAGAATACCATGAGGTGAAGTGCCCCTCTCAGCACATCCTATCAGGTGGTATATAATAGTGATACGTCTTATAACTGGTGATGTTAACCTTGATCCCTTAGTTAAGGTGATGTCAACCAGGTTTTTCCACTGTGAAGTTAACTATTTTTCCCTTTCTTATTAATATATACTTGGGAGGAGACACTGTGAGGTTATGCAAATATCTTGTTTCTCCTTACACTTTTCCCCACTAATTTTAGCACTCATTGTTGGGTCTTGTTTGTAGTAATTACTGTAGCATTCTATTTCTCTCATACCTCCCACATTTATTAATTGGGATTCTTTTGTAAAGAACTGTCGCTTCTCTGAAGTGAATATTTAAAATCTTTAGGTGGAAGCAGAAGGCATATCACCATGGTACAGTTCTTAAGCCTTATAATATGGGCCAGCAGTGTGCAGAGTAGAATTAATATTTTATTTTATTTTATTGATTTTAGAGAGAGAGGAAGGGAGAGAGAGAGAGAGAGAGGGAGAGAAACATCAATTTGTTGTTCCATTTATTTATGCATTCATTGGTTGATTCTTGTATGTGCCCTGACTGGGGATCAAACCCACAACCTTGGCATATCAAGACAATGCCATCTGAGCTACTTGGCCAGGGCTAGAAATAATTTATTTACTTACAAATCCTTTGTTGAATACTATGTACCACTAACTGTTAGGCACTTGAGGTACAACAGGGTGTATGTAGTCTCTGCTTGAGAGCTTATAATATAGTCTAGTGTAGGATGATATTTATGTTTTAGTATTGAAAACTAGCTAGATTCTTCTGAGCAGCATATGACCTTACAAAAGCCTTTATAGGACCAAATAAGAACACTTATCCGACTGACCTATCTCCCTATTTTTCATCTTCTCTTCAATGAGTACAGACTGTACCTCCTCCCCTCCATGTCTGTGTCTATCCCTCAACACCTCTAATTTGAGGTCTTCACTGCTTTACTTCCTCCACTCCAATCTCACACAAGTTTTTCTTGTTAGCCAACCATAACCTGGAACCATACAGGGAAAGGAATTCTGGGAAATTTGTTCTAGTTTAACTAAACTGATAAAAGTTCAAACCCACCACAGCTCATTTTGACCACTGCACTTTCGTTGAAATGGTCTTCTTTGGCTTCATGACACCAACCTCTCAAGTGTTCCATTGGATTGCTTCCCTTCCACTTTTTTGCTAGCCATCTTTCCCCGCACTGGTCCTGTGTGGAGAAGGCCTGGGGAGGGGGGTGATGTGGGGTGGAGAGGATCAATGCGGGGGAAATGGGGGACATCTGTAATACTTTCAACAATAAAGATAAATCTTAAAAAAAGAAGGAAAAAAGACACAAATAAATGGAAAGCTATTTTGTATTCAGAACAAACAAGCAAATAAATGTGTGGTCCTCAGCCATTTTTGCTTCATACTTTACAAACTCTAACTAGTTTCATCCACGTTTATGGTTTTAATTACTATCTGTACACTAATGCCTTCCAATTCTATTTCAGCCCAGACCTCTCTTAGAAACTCCAGGGGAAATAATTCAGTTGTCTGTCCTCAGGCACTTTATTTGTACTATGACCAAAACTGAACTCATTACTGTTCTTAAACCTGCACTTTCTCTTCTAATCCCAATGAGAACTGACAAGTAATTTCCCTCAGTTGGGAGAGTCCTCAATCATCCCTTCTCTGCTTAACTAGTCCCATATTTTTTTCTGAAGGTCTTTCACTTAAGGCACAGCTTCTTGTGCCAATTTTTGTATTGATTAAGATTCATTTAGTTATTTAAAAAAATTCATTTTGATTTAGCTTAATCATAGTAGTAGGAACATTTAGTGGATCTATACAAGTGCCTGACACATCATAGGCACTTTATAATATGAGGGAATAAACAATAGGATGGATGGGTAATATTTATTTTATAGATGAGTGAATTACAGAAATTTCTCCTGATTATAGAGCTAATATATGATATAATAAGAACCTAGACTTCAGAGGTCTAATATAAAAATGAAAACATAATTTAAAAGTGTCTTAATTAGGAGAATCAAAGACTGTACTTCAAGAACAAATTAACCCTGGAACATCAGAGGTTCAACACAAGAAAGGCTCAT